GACAGGCGCACAACTTGCACAGCTCATTTCATTAAAAGTTTTCTACACTTGAAACTAATTTGCACTGCCAATACAAAACAAGTTTGGCAACTTGCACAGCTCGCAACATATTTCCATCTATTTTCCTTCGGTGTTTTTTCTGAGTCGGAGGGTGAAATAGGTAGGACGTTTTGAACAAACGAATTTAATAACTTTCGCTACAAACGCCGTGGCAAACTAATTGTAAAATAAACAGAATAAGCCAATTGCAATGAGAGGGAAAAAAATGCATACACAATCATAGTGCTCGTCTGGAAGATACTCAGTTTATACTTCTCTGAAGATTTAATGTGCGCATGTCTTCATGGTGGTATGTCCTGCATCAATAACACAAATAAGCAACAATAAAAATTTAGTTTTAATTACTGTTAACATATATCTAACATTTATTTTGTCTTACAGGGTATAGAAAAACGAAAAGAGAAAATGAGGAATGGAAAGTAGCTGCATCCTCGAATATAATTAACTTTCACAAAAGTAAATAGAATCTTAGTGAGTGAAAACTAAAGACAACAGCTGTTAATGAGTGGAATTTTTGTGCAAGTTGAACGAGAGCTTCAGCAGCAGAGGCAAAACAGTTGGCGAATACAATTGCTGCTGCTGCTGCTGCTGGTGCAAGGATCCATTGAGTGGAAGTGGCAAGTGCGCGTTATTTACGCGGCTGCTGTCGCTGACTTTTGCTTAGTTAATATTTGCGGGCTTTATGTGAAGTGGGCAATTGGGAGGCAGCGCTGAGGTTGAACTTTGGCTTCAGTTTGAGCTTGAGCTTGAGGTTAGCCTGCATATGATATGGGTAAGAAATATTGATTAAATGTTAGCAAAGCACTGACTAGACCTCCTGACGCTAACGCTGCAGCTGACATCAGACGACGCGTCGCCGCTACAATGTCTGCCTGCTGCAGTAAAGCGGAAACGGAAGTGCAAAGCAGTAGCAGCAACAACGACAACGACAACGACAAAGCTAGCTAAAACCACAACAACGGCAATCCCTGTAAATAGCTCGCAGTTTTTTGTAGCAGGCAGACGTATTTTGTTGCCGCTGATGTTGCTGTTGCTGTTGCTACTCACAGGCAAATGTTGGACATTTTTACGGTTTCGGTCACTGGCAAATGTCAACGCTATTTTATAATAATGTCGTTGCTCTTATTGCTACTGTTGTTGTTGTTGTGGTATCCACAAGTTAACACAGGAAACTCTGCCGGTCCAGGCAATTGTCTGACATTTTATTTATTGTTTCCTACAGCAGCGAGGCGCTAAAAATGCCTGCTCCGTATATATACAGACATTAAAATCACAACTAATTTGCGGTACATCGAGCCAGCAATTATATCACTCAGTTTCGCAACATTAAGTGATTAAGTCACTTGCTATCTTCCCTGCTGCAAAAATAAAATGAACAATAAAAATACACTAAAGCTACTTTTCCAGGCACTGTCTCGTCTACTTTGGCTCACAACGGGCATTCAATTTCAAATTTGTTTGATGCTTATTAAGTGGGACATTTAAGTGTAGTCTGAAGTGCTCGTTGACTACTTGCATTTCATTAAATAAGAATTTCAGCAATTCTCGCATTGTATTTTGTCTTCATTATATTCATGCACTCTGCGAATTGTGTGGCAATGGCGTGCTTAGAAGAACTGCTTTCTCTTTTGCTGTGAACTATATTAAAATTAAACTTCTACAGAGTTTATAAAGAACTTTATTGTAGTTTTATGTATTACACTGTTTCAAATATATAAAAAAGCCAACGGGTACAAAATCCAAAAACAACTATGTTATTTATAATAACATTTAAGGAGGCTATATGTGTGTCTCTATGTGTTAAATTGTGTTAAATTAATCAATTTTATTTTATAATTTCTCTTCTTTGATTTTGATTTTGCTTTCGCTCAACTATTAGAGGGTAAGGGTACACTATACGCATAACCTTAATAAATTGTGTTGACTCTCTAAACATCCACTCAGATATTACGAATGCATACCTAGCCCTGCAATCTCAATTATGCAATTTAATAATTTGGCTCCTGCCTACAGCTTAAGCCCATTTTATAAATTGTTACAATTGATTTCGATGGTACTCCGATCCCTGGACAATTTTAAAATGCATTTATAATGCGCTTTGGATGTGGTATATGTGCTGGTGTGAACAATATGCTGCTTTAACGTTGCAAAAAGCATTAAAATTTCAAATCGAAATACATGACACGAAAGTTTTAAGCCAGCATTCAGCATTCGCCGCTCAGGCAGAGAAACAATAGAATGCAACTTGAGCCTCAAGTGCAGCAAAACTCTTATCAAGAAATAAAGTGAAGTAAAAGTTTTAAGCGTCTTTGCACGCATACAATTTCTCATGAGCAGCAAATACAATTGCACAATAAAATATATACGTACACACAGTCACAGATATTATGGAGCCGAAAGCCGAAAGGGATTCGAGGACGAATGCAAAAAGAAGCTTAAGCGAAAGGATTTTAAAAGCAGCGCGCCTGGCAAAGGTTTTTGTCGTCAACGCTGCCATTTTGCTAAAAGCGGAAGACAGTTCCAAAAAAGCGAACAAAAAACACAAAAAGTGAACCACAAAAAAGCGAAACAAATTCAAAAAACAACATGCAACATAGCGGGTGCCTTGCCATAATGGCTGCCTTAAGACTATGTTTTAAACCCGGCTCACGCGCAGTTGCAGCAGCTGTTGCCCGGGCCATTGACGTTTTTATTGCACGCCAAACTGTTGCCCCGAAAAACTCGAATGAAATTAAGAGCGCGCAGCCGAAACTTTGGCCATTAAAAAAAAAGAAAAGGTAAGTTCTGCTCAGCGGAAACAATGAAATCGGCATTCATTTTATTAACTCTTTGAGCCGTCGCTCAAGCGAATTGCCAATTAAAATGGCACTTGCTGCAGCAGCACTCCTGCCCTCGCCAATTCCAGCACAATCAGTAACATCAGCTTGGGCACCGGAAACGGATGCCGTCAGTTGTCATTTGCTAAACAACGGAAATCACGTAGAGCTCGCGCCCAGGCAGCGCACGAGAACAAGAAATACAATGTGTTCGAATGCGTACATTGTGGCATGCAAAAGGCATATGCTTTTATTTTTTATTGGAAAAACTATAAAACACAAAACTGAAATGGCAATGGCAGATAAATTTTAATTTTAGCTGCCGCATATACGTATGCACATACATAATTTAAAAGACCGGGCGACACAATGTCAGGCGTTTGGCCATAAAAATGTGTGTTGGGCAAATAAATTTCAAAGTGAAATACTTGTAAATGAAAACAAATGGAGCAAACATGAAACAAAAACAATAACTGCTAAAGGACACCAGCTTCTGGCTATTGGCTACTTGGCTACAAGCTAAAATTCGATATTACGTATACGCCATGTACGGCGTAGTGCAATAAATATTACGTGTCAAGGACTTTGACCAAATCGTTTTTGGCCTTTAGCTAAAAATTTACTTTAAATGTCCTATAAATTGTGCATTACAGTTCATACATAGCAGGGCGTATGCCAACTAAACTTTAAATACTAAAAATCAATCCGAAATTCGCCCAGAACGAATATTAAATTTATTAAATTTAGTAGGTTCAATTGTATGCAGCTGGTCTAATTAATTTTTGTTTTAACTAAACATAATTTAGCACTCACACACTTCATGCGTTAATAAACACAAATTATGTTTTTATTATTATTATTTTAATTTTCAAATTCAATTTACGCACCAAGGACCAATTTTGCGAAATAGTGCAGCCCAACTGAATAAATGTTAACATAATTATTGGAAAATTTCATACGCATGTGTAACCGTATGACTTAAATTATATTTTTAATAATCAAAAACCACAATTTATAATCTGCATTTTTCATTCGATTATTGTTTGTTTGATTTGTCTATCTGTCTGATTGTTGAGCGAAAAATAAAAATTAAATGCACAATTAATATTTAAATGGGTGCACACAAATATGAATGTATATTATATATTGTAGTTTTCATACAGTGCAATTTGTACCTTTCAGTTGTTGTTTTTTTTTTTTTTTTTTGTGAGCATTTTCAATGAATTTTGAAAATCAATTATATGATCTATTTATTTTGCATACCATTATGGACAAATTTCACATTTGCATTTCTAATTACAAATACAAACAAAAAGCATGCAATAAGGCCAAATCAAAAGAATTTTTGTACCAATGACAACAAATTTAAATAAACATAAAAACACTTATTTATTTGCATATCTATAAACTGATTTATTATACGCTACTGTACACACGCACAGAAAACGACAAAATATTTCAGTCGACAGTTGCTGAATGTGAAATACTCTGGTAAAAGTCTTATTTTTACCTACATACCAATATGTATTCAAATTTTATACAAATGGGCTGAATACCGTGAATGGAAACTAGTCCAATATACTCGTTTTCCTATTGTGCAGAGGGTATTTAGGAGCAACCTCCTTTAATATGCTTCAGTATACATTTGTGTAAATAACAATTCAACTCAATATAGTTTTGCTGCAACCTTGCAGCTGATAATAAACATTGTTTTTTTTGTTGGATGCTGCCTTGCTTGTTGGAGGCAGAAACCACGGTTGCACATAAATTCCATTTGTCTGACAGCTTCGCCAGACAGCACACCGCAAGCCGAAAGCTAAAAAAAGGCAGAATTGTGTTTTATTATTTTTATTTTCAATATTATTAGTCGTATTATTATTATTACTCTTAACATTATCATGATGATTTTGTAAATGATTTAGCAAATAATTTCGCCAAATTTACAACGAAAAGCACAAAAACTTTCAGAGTTGTCAACAAAAATGCAACTGCCCGAAAAATATGCCATTGTCATTTCATGTAAATTATTTTCTATTTTAGCTTGTCATAACTTTTATGCAAATGTTGACTTACAAATACCAGACTAAATACATATACATCTACAAAGAAATTTAAATACATATATATATTTTTAGTTTTTGTATTCCAAAAACTTTGTCTGCACATTTTGTGCATATTAGGAAAAGGCATGGAATTTGTACTTTTGTGCCAACTCTTTTTAATGAGTTCTGGAGCAGTAGCCATGGCTAGCTATAAATATATTACCAAATTAATTGACTGCATTGAAGGGATTCGTGTTGTAAGTGGAGGGAAATGCCATCTGAAAGCCAAATAAATGGAATAAAATATTGATACGCCATTGTCGGGCCACTCACTCAGCTGCCAAATTATAATGTGACGCACATTAAGTGCTACGTTCTCATCCGTTTTATCATTTGCATGCTGGCAGAGGCAGATGCAGAGGGCTGTGGGCAACGTAATCACCAACGACATAGAAGGCAGAGCAATGGAGCAGCAGGAGCAGGACGAGCAGCGGCAGCAGCCGGATATCCTGTCACGTTTTCAGTTGACTTGACTGCTGTGGGAGAGTGCGCAGTACTTAACCGTTCAAGTTGCCGGTCTGGGACTCGAGCTTACCTCCAGTTGCCTCTGGGCCACTGTTGTCAATGTCTCGCTGGCTCTTACAGCGTCTGCAGTGTATGGTGTATGGTGTGTGTTGGTTGTGGCTGGTGGAGCTGGTGCTACCTAGTCTTGTAGTGGCGTGAAAATTAAAGGAATTCCGTTATTATTTTGCCTTTTTTTTCAGCTGCACACTTTCCATAGCACTTTGACGCAAATTATGTCGGCGCAGCGAAAACAAATGTTGCATATGCATGCGACACGACATGTCACAAGTGCTTAGCAGTCCCGAGTGCGACAGTTTCTCGCATGCAATCCCTACTACCACCAAAGACAGCCACAGAGAACGACCAGCGAACTGAGATTTTCTGCTTGTGCGTGGTTCTGGATATGTAGGAGTATGTGCAAGCGTGAAAGTAATTTGCAAAGTAGACGTTCTGCAATTGCAGTAGCAGTCGCCGTCGTCGTAGCAGTAGCTGCCTTATGGCTTTCGTTGTTGTCATGGCAGCTCATTATGTGGCGGCTTCTGTACCATCAGAGAAGTATGACGCTCGCGTGGTTACTGAAAGCACAAAGAGCAGCGACAACACCAGGAAAAGTTAATAATATACGAGAAAGTAGCACGAAACAAATCTGAATGCAGAGTATATGCAAGTTCTGATTACAACGCGTGCTATCTTATAGCACGGCAAAATCATTTTTACTGATTTTATGTATACGAAATGAAAATTAAGTTGTTTTCTGTGAAAATTCAGCAGCTGACAGCAATTTCTATATAACATACATATTCAGTAGTGCGGGCTCGTAATCACAAAGCGAATATTCCTTCCGTTAACCCCTTATGAGTGCATGTTTAATGAACATTCTTCTAAGGAGTTCACTTTTACTGTACATTTTCTTAATTGAAATTTGAAAATGTTGTTCAATCTATTATGACTTTAAAAAATATATATATAAACAAGTAAGAGGTTCTAGTCGGGAGCTCACGACTAGGGGATACCCTGAACCCTCTTCTTCCAACATCAAGGCATATATATTCTATTTTAGAAACTATATGTCAAGTTTGGTGACTCTAGCTCTTATTATTTACCAAAATTGCCCAAAAAACAGGATATCGATATCGACTTTTATCGATTGCTTGGAAACAGAGTAAGTTATCGATTATCGGAAATAAACTCGACCTGCGCGGGAACTAGGATTTCATCAATTTTATCTAGAGGTCAAACCATGAATAAAAAGTCGAACCTCGTGGAAATCGGTTGAGTTTTGACCGAGTAATGGGGGTGGGAAATTTTGACCTATGTCTATATAGGATATTTGAGAACACTATTTTCACATGAATTTTGACCAAAAATAGTGTTGCCAGATTCTGATGCCAATTTTATCTAGAGGTCAAACCATGAATAAAAAGTCGAGCCTCGTGGAAATCGGTTAAGTTTTGATTGAGTTATGGGGGTGGGGAATTTTGACCTATGTCTATATAGAATATTTGAGGACACTATTTTCACATGAATTTTGACCAAAAATAGTGTTGCCAGATTTTTATGCCAATTTTATCTAGAGGTCAAACCATGAATAAAAAGTCGAACCTCGTGGAAATCGGTTAAGTTTTGACCGAGTTATGGGGGTGGGAAATTTTGACCTATGTCTATATAGAATATTTGAGGACACTATTTTCACATGAATTTTGACCAAAAATAGTGTTGCCAGATTTTGATGCCAATTTTATCTAGAGGTCAAACCATGAATAAAAAGTCGAACCTCGTGGAAATCGGTTGAGTTTTGACCGAGTTATGGGGGGTGGGAAATGTTGTCTATATAGGATATTTGAGGACACTATTTTCACATGAATTTTGACCAAATATACTTTATGGGGTCGGCGATGCTTCTTTCTGCCTGTTACATACATTTGGATTTTGCGCAAATACAATATACCCTTATACCCATTTTTAATGGGTTCAGGGTATAAAAAACGAATTCGAGTGTTCTGAAAAGAGTAGATTTTAAAATATAACGTACGTAGGTAGGCTCTGAAACATATAAAAATAAAATACCTTTCATTTTAAGTTTAGAGTAAATTGGATAAACAAAATCTTGATGGTTGTTGCCCTAATTAAGATATAACATACTAAGAATGTTATATATAATTTCAATTTAGAATCAATACCTAATATATATTTGTTAATATGATTACTGAACATGTTTAAAATAGCAAAATGACCATGATTTCAGTTTAATTAGCACAGAAAAGCTTTTAAGCATTAGATTATGTACATTTAGTATAGACTTCAGCGTTTGTGCGATTTGCTCATTGAAATTCGTGCTCCGAGCTGCCATTTATAGACAGTCGAGCAGTCAACCGTTTATAGACAGCTCTCCCGTTTGGCTATCAAGCAGAGCGCATAAAAAATGGTCACCTAGCGGGGTGCCATTGTCATTGTCATTGCTCGCTGGTGGCAGTCAAAAACTGAAACGGATTTAGCTGCCAAACGGCCAAATCGAATGTCACCAGCAGCAGCAACAGCAGCGGCAAGTAGAGGGAAAGGACCCGCAGCAGCAGAGAATCCAGCTGCCTGCCGACTGCAGTTATCAAATAGGAATGAAGTCAGAGCCATGTGCTGAGCTCCACTAAGCTGCACTGCCGGCGTCTAGACGGCATTTGTCATGCAGCCAGAGATACATTTATTTTCGCCTGGACCAGTGGGAGCAAAGAACCGTATATAGGCTCCCATAATTATTTATAAAGCTCGGGGAGCATTCGAATCAAGTCTTCGAGTCTATTATGCAGATCACCTTTGACTGTGGCAGCGCCTCAGATTTCAACATTATTTGCACCCGCTGCTGGGCTAATTAACCCAACTTAAAGACCGAGACCCCAGCGAATCATTAGCCAGCCTTTTGGTATTGGCTGTTGATTTAAAATCAAATTGGTCTTAATGCTGGCAGTACTTGGACTATTTGTGCGGTCATTAGGGCAAGAGGCTGCCGCTTTTGACAGTAGTTGTGCTGCAGGTGGCAATAATTGAAAAACTTTGGCCAAGCCTACTCACTAATTAAAAGTTTTTGGCTCTACCGGCCCAGCCTTTCATAATAATGACGTAGCTGTTGTTCTGGGAATTCAACTTTATTAAGATTATGCTCTAGTGTATATTGTTACAATCAATGTTGTTGTTGTTTTAGAGTATGTACTTGCTGTTCATGACTGGGCTTTATTAAATTAAAAGTTTCATCTTCGGTGATGCTGCTGGTGTCAGGAAAGTTGTTAATGCGATTATGTTAGGCGGTGCCGCTTCGCGTCCAATGCGGAGTTATGACAACAATTTGTGCTGCCCGAAACATAATCGATTGCCAAATGCTAGAACTAAGTTTAGCCCCTAACAGTTGCCATTGCATTTGCACTGCACTGGCATTTGTCGTCGGGCGACAGTGGATTACAGCAATTGAATGTTCAATGCCAGAACAAAGCATTGCAGTCATCCCAAAAGATATCTCTGTGCTGTTCCAGCTTCAGTTTTGGGCTGGGCTTGAGCTCGAAGCAGATATACAGACAGCTGCATATGGCACGCCTGCTAATGAAATTGTGCATTCAATCGAGTGGAACGATGGGAAAAGTCAATAAAATTGATGTAGCATACACCAAGGCGTTCGCCAGCGATGCAAAAACAGGAGCGCCTCGAGTGCATGGCTTGGGACGAGCGGCAAATGGCAAATGAACTTGATGACAAAATGGAAATAGTTGATGGAAATTCGCAATGCGAAAGGCGCACTAAGCCAAAACTATTTGGGCGCACAAGACAATGCAGATGAACCAACGGGAAATTAAATAAATACTAAGCATACGCCATATGGCCTTATTGAAATGAACAAATTAAGTATTACGAAGGAACTGCTTCTCAATGATTATATATATATCAATTTATATCAATAATAATGATGTGTGACTTTCTTTTAAAAAACACATCTTAATTTATTTTGATAGTTTACGGATTAGTAGATGTAATTTGAGATTAGGGCAAGTGGTTGTCCTCCGCTTCAGTGCCTAGTTTACTTTTACCTCACGGAAAGTGCACTTAGCTAATAAATTTTTAATATTGCGAACCTTTCTCATTTCAAGGTTTTCTTTTCAAGTGCCCAGAACTCGCGAATGCTGTCAAATATATTCCTTGAATAATTTGTGTCCTGCTTCACCGTATTTTTTCTTCTCTTACAAAATTTTTTTTCTCCTTTATTTATATTTTTTCTTTCGTTTTGCTCTCCCGCCAACCTTCATCAGTAAGCCAATTATGGTATTAAAAAACGTAAAGTTGAAGGCATAACAAATTGTGCACCAGCGGCGACTTGAGGCGCATCAAGGTCAGGTCAAACGTTGGCCGCCTGTCGCCAGTCAACAGACGAGCGACTGCATTTAAATGTAAATTGAAATTAATTTCGCTTGAGCAAAGGCACAAAATGGCCATACGGCCAGCGAGGCCTGACGCGGTGGGTTTGATGTGGGTAATGCGTCCTGTTATTGTTCAGCCTTTGAAGTTGTCCCAAAAAAAAAAATATTAGCCACACCTATATATTATCAGCTTTCTGTATATTCAAGAATTTGACATCTGACCGCCATTCAAAATGCAGACCCTACACGATGAACCCATGAATTGGCGTTCTTCAATATATTTTGATTAATACTTTCATAGCTTTAATAACTTTAGCTTTTAATAATTTTTAACTTTAGGGAATCAAATTGAATAGTAATTATTTAATGTGAGCACATTTAATTATGAACACATATTAAATTCATAGTGCATTTGTTGTTCCCATTAGAAACCATTTACAAACTTTGCTTTATCTTACATAAAGATTGTTCTCACTGCAGCTTTCAAAACTTTATTTTATATGAATGGAATGAAAACAAACACAATTAAATATGAACGTAACCTTTGCGTGTTATTTTACTACAAATTATCAAAATCAGTTAAATATAAAAGAAAATCACCCCCAATCCCACTGCTACTTGGTAAAAGAAGGAAGCCACTTGAAGTCAACTCCACGCTTCTCATTCTAATAACCCTAAGTGCTTTCAACTTTCAAATTGAAAAGTCAACAGACAGCATAGCCAAATAGCAAAAACAGCAAATAGCACAGAAGTTGAGCGCACAAAACAAGAGAAAACGAATCGGGAGCTGAGCTTGAAATGGAGAGGATGGGGCGTCGAGTTGGATAGAGTATGACGCGACTTAAAATTACAAAAGATTAAAAAGCGAAATATAAATATTTATCTGCGGTGCGGGCTTGACGTCGACAGTCAGTCAGGCAGGGAGTCAGTCGGGCAGCGAGGCTCAAACGAGTCCAGGAGTTATGCATGCAAAATAGTGTCACGACCCGGACACAGTGTCAGGCAGCAGAGTATACTGGACGTGATTGAGGGGAGAGCGGTTTCCGGGTGACGGTTGCGGTATAAAGGTGCCTTTGTTCGAGACGCCGTGGCGCTTGCGACATTTTGAGCTCATGTAAATCCATTTTAATTAATTCGAGACAAAGGTTATATCCTGGCATAATAATGAACTGAGTCCCGGGACCAAAACCTTTAGGTGTGCCCAGGCTCAGCTTTTCTAAAGGATTTGCATTTCATTTCAAGTGGATGAACGAATCTGAATTAGAATCGCTGCCCAGTCTGGCCGGCGAGTCGGACTACCTCGCCTGACTGATGCTGCAAATTAAAACTGTAAGATTAGAATAAATACAAGTACAAGTC